GAGCGAGGTGCCGACCATCATTCAGAGCATTGGAGCAAAGATCAGGAGCACCAATCTCACAACTCAGCTATCAGATGTGGAGCAGCAGATCAGAGCAGAGCTGAGCTGGAACCAGCATGATTACCAGATCTGGAGGATTGCGCAAATGAAGGATGAGGACTATAAGGAACTCTTCAGCTGGCCAGATCAGGCAAAACAGCAGATGAGTCCTCAACATCTTCTTATGCTGGTGTCATGGCTTGCACTTCACTACCAGGTAGTGGAACAGAAGCTGGCTTAGGCTCAAGAGCATCACAACCTAGTTTCTCAACGTGACCTTCTGAATCTTGCTGACTACGTGCACGTGCACGAGCAGACGTGTCCTGGTGCAGGAGCTCAAGGTTCATCGTCAAACCCATTTCTTTGGCAACCCTATCAAGCACATCTTCACCTTGAGGGTGTGACATCACAACCACTGCGGATTTCTGCTTTCCTACGTGCCTCTTAGCTGCAGGGGGCCTACTTGGATCTTTTTCAAGCGTGGTCCCTTCGAAATCGATTTGCCTACCTCTCCTTTTTGAGAGCTTTGCTTGTTCTGCGCACCGGACGGCTTTGATGAAGAGGCAGACTCAGGAAACATTATATCATCAATGTTTCCTCTGAACACCTTGGCTTGATGATCAATGTCACTTCTGACGACATCTTCAGGAATCTCATAGTCATCCTTGATCTTGTAGACCGTCTTGCCCTTCCAGAAACCACCAAACTTGTCATTTTCTCTGCCCTCCAATTCTCCTTGTGTAGAACCTTCTTGCCACTCTTCTGGTACTCAATGCGAGTTACTCTTTCATGACGAAGTTGTTCTTTTGGAATTCCGACGCAGGCCTCTGCGTTTCATGCAAATACTGTCCCTTGTCCTTGTGATGTCGAATGAGTTCACGCCATAGGCAATCAACTCGCCAATTGTCGCCAGTCACCAAGGCTTCTTCTTCTTGCTGAACATCTTGTTGGACAGACATCTGCCTGTACTCAAAGTGATCATATTGTGAAAAGAAACTTTTGACTTGTGGAGTTCTGAAAATAACTTGACCCATGTACCATGCAATATCTTGTAGGTCCAGAATGAGATTAGTACTCATGGCGGTTCTCAAAGCCATTTTTCTCATGCCCGTAAGTGCACAGGACAAATAGGCCTTGCCTGGAGTAAGTTTGAATTGGAAACTGGAACCCAAGGTTTCTCATGTGAGGAAATGACATCAACAATTAAACATCGTCTTCGACAATGTCGAATTCTGTGAACTGAGTGCTCCATCCATGATCATACATGAATATCACAGGCTTCTCGGCGCACTTAGATTGTTAGGAATTTCCGGAGGCCACTGTTTGGATGTGAGTCAACATATCTGCAGAAAGCTTCGACTGCCCTTCAAGCCCATAGCTCTGGTGCATCCAAGGTCAGAGATACAAACAGTTGGTAGCGCAGAATTCTCATTGTGAAAAGCAAGTCCACTCTCATATACCTGACCAGGCTGTGGGATGAAATTAAAAAAACACCCTGATCTTAAGTTGATTCCTCCAAGTTCTTGGAGCATTCAGACTGAGATGGTATCTCCACGTTGTTGGAGTATCCATGCATGAAAAGGAAGTGCCTTTCTCAAATGGCTTCAATGAAGCCTCACGCTCCTGTCTTTAAACCAAGTTTTCTGGGCACTGGGTGAGGTCGTTGTCGTCGAGCTGATCAAAGAGCCCCAACTTCACCTACGCAAACAGGAAACCTTTTGCCTTCTTCTGTGTTTTGCCGTGCCGCTTCATCACGTCGGTTCTGTCCTCCACGTCGAGTACGGCTCTTGCGCTCTTGCTCTTCAAATGTGGATGAAAAAACATCAGCACGTGCAGGACCAGTCTCAGAAAATGCAAGGAAGCCATGCTACTCGATTTCTGGATGCAGGTCCACGATGTTCAGGTTCCAGTTCTGTGCTGTCACACCAGTCATCACTTGCATCCTCCAAAGCAAAGAAGCTGGTCTTTCAACTGTATGATGACGCAACCTTCGTGGTCCTCTTCTCATTGCAAATGATTCATTCGGATTCCATGAGCTACCATCGTCCACATTGTCGACGTCATCTTCGTCATCTTCATAGCCATGGCTTGTCATTGGGCTCCACTCTGCACACCCGGAGCAATGCTCCGCTACCACTTGAAGAGGGGCAGTAGCGTCCTTCGGTGCAGAGCCTATAGTCTACAAGCTATACTTCTATATCCCTTTTGAGCAATGAGAGCGCATCTAAACTGTGCTCAGTAATCATGCTATGACCTAGTACAGTTCAATCTAAAAAACAAGAACAAGGGCGCAGCGCCTCCCATCCGAAGCAGAATGACAATACCTTTTCTCACATGCATTGCTGTAGGTTCAACGTGGTACTCAAGGTACATGTAATGCACAACATGCACTTTATGAACATGTAGAATGTACATCGTTCAAATATTTCGGGAGATGTGACATTGCAAACATGCACCTGGTGAACATGTACGAGTAGAATGCAAGTGGTCTTAACAGTTTCGTTGGATGCAACATTGCAAACGGTGCGAATGATCTGAGGACCACATAGTTACGTGCAAAAAAACAGCCTGATTATCTGGTTCCAGTAGTACCGCACAAGGCGGCGGCGGAAGTTTCAAAAATAGAAACCTATAGGAGAGGTTGGCTGCTGTGAATCACGGATGGCAGAGCGAATCTACTGATGGACCAAGAGATGGTTGGAGTTGTGTTTTCTGGAGTGGTTGCAATGTTTGCAGTGGTCACCACACCACCACTTCTGGATGTAGTGTGGTGTAGTGCAGTTGTAGCTGTAGTCGTAGTTGTACTGTATTGGAGTTGTAGTTGAAATGTTTTGTAATTACTGTAGTGTAGTCGCAGTTGTAGTTGTGGCGTGGTGTAATTAGTGTAGTGTATTGTAGTGTACTGTAGTGTTGTGTACTGTATGGTATAGTGGTGTAGTCATGTGCAGTCTAGTGTAGTGTAGTGTAAGGCAGTGTAGTTGTAGTTGTAGCTGTAGTGTACTGCAAGTAGTGTAGTGTAGTGTAGTGCAATTTAGTGGTAGTTGCAATTGTAGTTGTAGTAAAATTTATATAATGTAATTAGTGTAGCGTAGTGTTGTGTAATGTAATGTAGTTGTAGTCGCATTTTGTATTTGTAGTCGTAGCGTGCTGCAATGTAATTAGTGCAGTGTAATGTGGTGTAGCTGTAACTGTAGTTGTAGCTGTGGTGTGTTTAATGTCGTGTAGTGTAATTGGATGTAACTAGCGTAGTGTAGTGTAATTAGTGTAGTGCAATGTAGCATAGTTTACTTGCACGTGTAGTTGTAGTAGCAGTGTAGTTGTAGCTGTTCTTGTAGTTGTCTATCTACCTACCTACCTACTTACCTACCTACCTACCTACCTATCTATCTATCTATCTACCTGTCAGCTGCAATCTGCAAGCTTGAAAACCAAGCTATTCTGCGAGACTTCCTTCAAAAATGGAAAGTTGAGTGCAGAGCTGACGGCCTCGTGCCAATAAGTTTCGCGATTTTTTCACTCCATCTGTCTAAAGTGCTGTGCCTGCTACGAAAAATTGATGCCAGTTCATACGAAGTGCTGCACCTGTCACGCGAAATCATCTCAGCAAACCTCAAGATCTGATGCTCCAAAATGCAACCCCTCAGGAAATCAGCGCCCTGACCTCCTAACAGCTCTGATGAACATGTCTCTTGCACTGCGCCGGCCACGCGAGATGCATCTTGCCAGATCCTCTGCATATGTCACACGCCTGCCATCGTTTTTGGACATGCTACAAAACCCTCACGTTCTGCTTTCTTTTAACACGGTGCACAATCCTTTGCGCCTGCCACGCGAAACGGCATCTAAACATCCAAAAGTGCTTCATACCCCTCAGTTTTTTGCACTTTTGACTTCAAAATGTGCTTCGCGCCACAATGGCGTGCACTTTTTCGACATCTCAACTTCCAAAAGTGGTCCGAAACCTGGTGTTTTGTACATTTTGACTTGGAAATGTGCTTCCCGCCAAAACGACGCGCACTTTTTCGACATCACAACTTCAAAAAGTGATCCGAACATGGTGTGTTTTGCACATTTTGACTTTGAAATGTGCTTCGCGCAACAACGGCGTGCAACTTGTCACCTCTCATCTAACCACATGGCTCCGCACCCGCCGCTTTAGCGAGCCTACTTTTCGGCCCTCCAGAGCCACAAATCATGGGAAAAACAATGTTTCGCGACTCTCCTACCTTTTCGCGCACCTGGATCTTCTTTCTTCTGACTTTTTCTCTTCTCTGATCTTCTCTCTTCTTCTCTTCTCTTCTCTGACTCTTCCCACCTGTGCTTTTCCATCTGTCCATATTGTCGGAAGTTTGACTTCTAAACTTCCTTCGGTTATTGAATGACCTGACAACCGGGATTCTTTGTGTATGGTGCGGCGTGCCATCTACCTGTGGAGCTTAAGCATATTGTTTCGGTAACTTTGAAATATTGTGTGCGCCAACTCTGACATTGCTGACGCAAACCAATTCCGGTTTTTCAGACATACAAAAGGGCTAGTTAGGACACTTGATGTTGAATTTTGAAATTCCTGCCGCACAAGCATGCATATAAACTCAAAAGTAAACTTCTGATTGCCATGCAGCCATTGCAAACACAAATCAAGTAAATACAGTCGGGCAACACAATTCAGCAAGTGTCTTGAAATACGGTTTCAAGAATTCAAAAAAGAAGTAGTTGGGACACTTGTATACATCAGTTGAATGTGGTTTCTGTGCAGTTTGCATGTAAGTTACACGCTGTGCATTTTATGAAATGGCCTATGCAAACTGCAATACCACACATGGTTTCAACAGAAGTGCATATAAGATGCAAAAGCCACATGAACCAAAAACCAAAAGCCAGGCGAAGCCCAACGACCAAAAGCCAAAAGCCAAAGAAGCCAAAGCCAAAAGCGAAGCGGGCATGCAAATGAAAGATTTTCTCAGCAGATAGCAAGGAAACTGCTCCAGATTGAAAAGCCAAAAAATCCTAAAGCAAACGCGGACACACATCCTTTTAAAAAAGTACCGTCCATTCTATCCCAAAGCCCCGGCGGCATCCTTCTCGAAGGCCCGGAGGCATCCCTCTGCGTGTAGCCGAATTTTTCTGGTTCGGCTACACGTCCTCTCTGGGACATCATCTTCGGTGTCCACGATTTTCACCTCGAAGGGTTTGTCTGGTACTCCGCAGAGCTTGGGCATAGACGTCACTTCCAGGTCATAGAAACCGCCTGAGAAGAACAAGTTCGATGATATCGCAACCTAATGTCACCCAATGCCATTTAATGTCATCCTAATGTCCCTGCCATGGTTGCTACCTCCAACATGGCAGCTGGTGTTGTGCAATATGATGTATTACTCGAAAAACAGGGGAACTAAAGTGACCGAAAATGTAAACTGATATCCGCCCTTGTTTTCCTCTGTGCACTCGTGTCAAGACTTAATTGTGTCTACCTAGGTAGAGCTCTAGAGCCAATAGCAGGTACATAGACAACATGGACATGAGGCACTGTAGATTAGGTACCTTTCAAGTCGGGTGTTCTCCTGTAAGTTGGTAAGATGCTATGAACGGCTCGCGCTCAAACTTCGGTGTCTGTGCTTGCCAGAGGACGCGTCCCTCTGGTCTTCATTAATTCGACCGGGTGAAGAAGGCGTTGCGCATACCCTCTCATAACCTTAATCAGTTGGGATGTCGATAGAACATCTGGTCATGCCATCTGCAACCATGTCTCTGGTATCGACCCAACCTACTGGTATAATCTTGAGGATGGCTAGTTGTTTGATCCATGAAATATGAGAGAGTAGCGACTTTTCCGTTGGATATTTGAAGTTCTCATTCATTCTCTACCGCACTAAAGACGGACTTTGCGTCTATCCAGATGTGGAGATCAAGACAGTAACCACCAGTTTCTCGCAGGTACATACTGTCTGACGGTCTGTAGGTCTTGAGGATCCGGCTATAATTTCATGAAGGGTGGTTAGAATGGTCAACGGATGCTGTCAGTGCCAACAGCTCAGCGGCGAATGTGCTGCGCACCACGAGCTTTATGTGATTGAGAAACGGCCTCAATCAAATGGTGCCTTTTATCACCCCGTGCATCTTTGCCTATTCTATAAGGAAAGTGGCACCTCGCAGAGCATATCCCTTGTCGCTTTCTCTAGAGAATGCAGAGTCAGAATATAGCTCAAGGACGCGCTGGCAAGTCATTGAGCTATATTCCAACTTCTGGGGACGTCGCTGGAATTCTCGAGTGAGTGCATTCAATCTTTTGACATGTGTAACAGTGGGACATTGTGTCACACGTTGCAGTGTTATGATATACAATAGCACCCACGCTCGTGTTAGAACGGAATAGGCAGCGGCACCTAACAGACTCCCGTACAATGGTCTGAGGTGACCGGGACATGGGTCATCTTTCTTGAGACTAGCATAGTGTGGGGGATTAATTGGTTTTAGGGCACTAAGGTATTCTGTTTGAAGAAGAGCTATGGAACCGTCTGCAAGTCTTTTATGAGATATTCCACAGTTCGTAAAATCATTCCCTTGATAGGTCAATTTACCACAATGTCCTTCCAAAGTTTTGACAACTGCATTGATTTCGGTTTTCAATCCTGACATCTTAATATCATCAACATGGACAGTGATGGCTAAGACTAGGATTCAATTTCTGAGTAGCAGTAGAAATTGTGGATTATACAGCGTTGGTTGAAGTCCTAATTCCTTGAGAACATTGATCAATGTCAAGTTGAATGCTCTTGGAGCAGCTCTGCAGCCAGTTCCGGGCGGCAAACATTTAAGAGCTTCTGTGCGCTCATCGAAGTCCTCATATCCAGGGATGCGTCGAAGATGCTTGGCTGTGCCTGTTGGGACAGTAAAAGAAATATGTTTCTCAGGTTCACCAGTCAGTTGGTTCATCTCGGAAAAGGTGAGTCCTTGGAGAAACGCTTTGCTTATGTCCACAGCAACAAAGCTCCAATCTTTATGGGAGGTCGCTTCACTGGCAAAGATCTTTTGGGAAGTTATCTTTGCAGTGGCTGAGACGTTCACCTCATCTTCTGTTTGTGGTTCCTTGAAATTCTCAAGGTTAGTCGCATTCGGATGATGTGTTTCCCATCGAAATACTTCCAAACCAGTTTAGCATCGATGAGTGCTTTGCACTTACTTTTGGGGATCCTCAAAGCAACCGTACTTATGCCAAGTACTTACTTATCTACTTCTTTTCTATGGTCTATAAACTCTTGAGCAGTCAACAAGTCCGTGTCCCGTTCGATGACTTCTTGCTTGGCTTCTGCGTTGAGATATACCATGAGAACTTTAGGTGATGGTGATTGATCATCGTCTTTGAAGCTGTCAGTAAGATCTTGGGATATCACCACTTCTAAATATGGTTCATCATCTTCATCATCAAAAGTGTGATCATATTCATCAAACTCGGTTTCAACAATTGGTGGTTCTGAAGTCTGGATCCGTGTAATAACACCATGCGTTAGTTTCCACATCTGCGAATTCACTATCTGGCTCGTTTAGAACTACCCAGCACAGCTCCTTGAGATCACTTTGGATTTCCTTGGGAGCGCCTTCAACCTGCTGGAGATACAACGCCTCTACTTCGAGAGAATCAGTGCTGACTTGGGATTCCTCGGGGATTGTGCTGAGCCGCCCATCACTATGACCCACACAATCTCTCGATTGAGATCCGTCGTAGCCGATGAACGATCCAGCACGCTCTCCTCGAAATCATCAAGTGTCATTCCGAAATCTCTGGGACGCATGACACACTGCATTGTCGCAAAGAAAGACCACTGTGGTCCGAAGATTTTGTTGATGTTCTGACGTGGGAAATCACGTTGCGGTATCTGCCATCAAAATCTGGCATCTGCTTTACTCTGTGGCCGATCCGCACGGTGCAGACATTAACCATCTGAAGAGTTACTGATTATGAATTCCAATGCTTTGGAAACCCCGTGGCCATTTCTTAGTGGTCTTGGTTAGTCTGTCATTTGCATAACCAAAAACTTCAATACGTCCATCGGGAAGTTGAACAAGGAAATTGTGGATATACACCATTGCGTCCAAACAGATATCTGCATTAGTGTGTCCAAATAGGGAAACAGTAATTAGTAAAGTATTGGGCTGATCGTGCATCTTGGAATCGATATGGTCGAGTCGTTCCATTGATTTTAAGAACGACGATGCCATCTGCGGCTATACTAAGAGTGGTCTACTTTCAGGGAGAAATTGCAGAGTCTGTGGTAACACTCCTTCCAGTGATCCAGCTGGGCTACCTGCCTCACCTCTTCTCGGATGCCAATAGTAGTTGCTCACCTCTTCTAAGCAAGCACTATATTTATCAGGGGGAATGTGCTTACCTCGAAACGGGGCGTTTATCCAAACAAACTTGTAATTTCCAAGTCTGATATTCTTTGGTGCTTGATGCTTGGTGTACAAAATGGTCCAAGGGTCAATAACATCTACTTCATATGGGTGTCATTGAAAATAGGTGGAAATGTCCTCGTGATCGTCGATAATCAACGCTTTGGCGGGGGGTTGGAATAACTCATCTTCAGCAATATATGCTTCATAGGCTATGGATCTTTAGGTCTTGGCTGCAGCTGTTTCCCTGGCCATGCCTGCTCCCCAACCAATCCTCACCCTTGCCTTCGCCTTCGGGGGCGGTCCTGGAGGGTCAGGCATCCACCTCTGGTGGTGGACCCGGTGGCTCCTTTGGTTCCGGCTCTTTTGGCTGTGAAGTCTTTGGAGGGGTTGTTGGAGCCCTGTAGGATGGTGATTTCAATATATAGTACCTGATTCATTGGGTGCTCCAGGCTATAGGTGGTATGGTCTTGGGGGGTCCAGCGACATTCAATGGGATAGATGGTTTTGGGGTTGACACGGGCATAGAGGTACCCTCGATCTCCACACTCATCGTGATTGGAGGCTCAGGGGGCTCTGGGGTCAGTGCTTTGCTCGCCGATGTCGCACCCGACACAGCAGCCCTTAGGCACGGGTCTTGCGACGCGGCGCAGAGCCTTAGCCTTGGCGGCTACTTCACGGCCGCTGGATGTTGATCTGGCTGGTGATGGAGATTTACTGGGTGCTATGCGCGTGGTTGGTTGTGATGCTGTGGATGTAGTGGTGGTTGTGGTTCTTGTTGTAGACGGCGCTGATAGCTGACTCCCTTCAGCAGGGAGGGTACCACCGAGCGGTTGCAAGAGTTGGATCAACTGAGAATCCGCGACACCTACGGCACGGATTAGCCACCAAGAAAGACCAGCATAGCTATAAGGGCTAATCCACCCGTCTCCGCTGTACGCATTCGGATGCTTTCAAACCTAGTCAGCAGTCCCTTCCAAATGACAACAGATCTCCCACTGCCCCTAGCCGGACTTCTTCACCTACTAGTCTGGCGTAGCGGGTGCTAAATTGAAACATCAAAAATGTCAACGGGTCTGTGGGATACCATTTATGGTATCCCCCTGGAGGATTGTTCCCGAGGGAAGCGATCTAGAGAACTCCCGTGCCGATCCCTGCAACTGGGATATCACGGCTGCTTTCTTCCTGGCAGCGTTGCCGTCGGTCATGATCGACCATATTTCACGAAGCTGTACGGGGATTCTTGCTGCGGAGACCACGGGGGTGGCAGTCGGGGGTGATTACATCTACCTGGCACCATGCAGCCTAGCATTGCACAAGGAAGGCTTGCTCCGCCGAAGGCGGCCAAGATCCACTGCACATACGTTCTTCGGATCCGTGCGTCTGCTCCCGAGAGCGATCTTCCTAGATGGTGATCTGCGATCTTCGGGGATGAGGCTACTGAAGTGCCTGACTACTGGGGTTGGGATGATTCATGCATTTCTGAGTCTTGGCCCTGGATTTTTTGCCGAACATGCTTCCCGTAGATCTGCTCACGAAGTTTCTCATGACGTCTCTTAAGGCCTTTCAACATGGCATCACATTTATTGATCGCTGCTCCAAAGATGAAACCCTGCCGACGCCTCAGCCGTCTTAAGAAGCTCTGCTCTACGCAAATCCCTGGGGCTCAGTCTAGAAACCTTTTCCGAGAAACATGCAATCGAACCAAGACTGAATTCGTGTCTCTCAGCCAGTTGTTCACCTCCGTTGCATTGGGAGTGTACTGTCCTGCTGATGCGACCTGTGCTAGTCCATGGCCCGCTGCTGGCTCATGTGAAGTGACTCTGATCGGACCTGCCTCAACCGAACACTGGGCCGGGTCACAAGGGCGCTGGTGTTGCGCGGCTAGATCACCAACCCAATGCTACTGGAGGAGACAGATCCCACCAGTGCCAGCACTAACACTACCAACAGCTTCATCACGCCGGTGAACATGTCAGTGAACAAAAAGATGAAGAACAAAAGAAAAGATGCCGAGTCGACCCTACGGGTAAGTAGCAGTTACCTTAAATGGGGTTTCTGCCGGGGATACCGGCTCCGCTACCAACCCGAAAAATAAGTGACCGAAACTGTAAACTGCTATCCGCCCTTGTTTTCCTCTGTGAACTTGTGTCAGGACTTGTGTCTACCTACTAGGTCGAGCTCTAGAGCCATAACAGGTACATAGACAACATGGACATGAGGCACTGTAGATTACCTTTCAAGCGTATTACCAATTCAGAGTCGAAAGGCGTCAGAACATTTCCGGAGCCTGCAGAGTAACACTCCTGGAGGAATTTGCAAAGCTTTGGTGGGCCATGGAGGATGAGACTTCTGGCGCCGCGCTGCCACATCATTTGTTGGATGAGAGCGCCTGACGGGCTGGGACCATTCTCAAATCCCTTATGAAACGGTCGATAGTAAAAGATACTCAGAGAGGTAATCAGAAACTTGAGACTTTGATTCAAAGGGTGAACCAACCGACTCAACCAGCAAGCTGATATCTTCACCTCCAAGTTCTCACGCTTCGTGGTTTCAACATGTGTCAGTGCCTGCAAGATATGCAGATGCGCGAGCATTCCTGGTGCCATCAGCAAAGACTGGAAGAGAGCAACGGCTGCAGCCGTCAGCACGAGGCAAGGCCCAAGTCAGCTTGTCCTCCAGCATTTCAGGAGACTAGCGGTACACAGAAAAGGTAATGTGTTTGTGTTTGAGGACAAACTCGCTTAATCTCTACGGACTTAAACCTGCCAGCACAGCCAAGCCATCTAACATGGAGGATGTTTCCATCGGCCACAGCATCGGTATGACCGATTTCACCCTGCCTTGCAATTCCTTGCGGCCCCCAAGTACTTCGCTTTGTTCCAGTACTCAAGAGGTGCCTTCACCCCGGGCTTTGTCAACGTCGTGCTTTGAATATTTGTCTTTCTCAATTTTGGAACCCAAAATTCTGTCAGAACCAGTGCCAAGTTACCATATATGCCATATCTTATTGGCTTGCCCACATTACTCAGTTTCCCAGTTTCCAATCTGAATCTAAACACACGGTGCAGGTCGAAACTTGGAAGCTTTGTTAAACATTGCCTCTTCTATTGCCTGCATCCTGGCAGCCTCTACCTTGGACTAGGTCCGGTGTCCTTCTTCGCTTGAAACAATCGGAGAAATATCTACCAGACGGCTACCAGCTGTTTTTTTCCCGTGGCAGCAGGCAGTCACAGAGCAAGCGACCCATATGTATTCTTCTTCTTGAAACACTTTCAGAAAGACCAAAAGGGCAACAGCTTTTTTGCATGCCAAGATCGTCCAGTACTACGGTCCTCAGCAAATCCGTCACTATATGTTGGAACTGTCAAGGATTGCAAAGTTCAGAAGCAAAGAACTGCGGTTTTGTACGACAGTCAATTGGCCGCAAAAGAACTCGGCTGAGGTGATGAAGGACCAACAATCCATCAATTCGATTTTGCCCACCTTGTTGGATCGCCGTCTCCTCCAAGACTGTGAACGTGAACTCCTGCCATCCTGCATCAAGACATATCAAGACTTTCCCCCAAGTCTCCCCGAAATTCCAGTCCAGTCTGCCTCACGGAAGTCACACCGCGCCAGGCGCTCTACCAACTTCAATCATAGTAGCACTTTGGGTTTGGAAATCGTGAAGCGCAAAAAAAGGAAAACGACGGGGAAAGCCATATATATGACCGGAACATCATGCCGTCCTGACTTGATTCTGCTCCACGGTTGAAAACCTTCCACATCAAGGCCAGATGATCAAGAAAGGAAAAGAAAGAAACATGTCAAACGAAAAGGAAACTTGAAGAAACAAAAGGAACAGGGAGCAGGAAAAGAAAGCGAAGGAAGAAGAAAAAACAAATCGAAGAAAAAAGGAAATAAACGGAATTCAGAAAAGGATTTAATTTGACTTGTGATTTAATTCAGAACTCACTTGCGTTGAGTTTAGTTTAATTCTACTGCTTTGGGACCTAAGAAAAAGGCAAAGTGGCTGCAGGAAGCAACGGTTCAATCACCTTGGACAACAAACGGTATGGCAACTGCAAGAATTACGGGCACTAGAGGTTAAATTGGACTAAGTCCGGTGTCCTTCTTCGTTTGAAACAATCGGGGAACTGGCGATGTCTCCCATGTGCCTGCAACTCATCTTGGATCTCCTGCCGCGTTTTGTTCCCGTGGCAGCAGGCAGTCACAGAGCGACCCTCATGTTTTTTTTCTTGAAACAATTTCAGAAAGACCAAAACACCAACGGCTCCTTTGGATGCCAAGATCGTCCAGTACTACGGTCCTCAGAAAATCCGTCACTATATGTTGGAACTGTCAAGGATTGCAAAGTTCAGAAGCAAAGAACTGCAGTTTTGTACGACAGTCAATTGGCCGCAAAAGAACTCGGCTGAGGTGATGAAGGACCAGCAATCCATCAATTCGATTTTGCCCACCTTGTTGGATCGCCGTCTCCTCCAAGACTGTGAATGTGAACTCCTGCCATCCTGCATCAGGACATATCAAGACTTTCCCCCATGTCTCCCCGAATTTCCAGTCCAGTCTGCCTCACGGAAGTCACATCGCGCCAGGCGCTCTACGAAATTCAATCATAGTAGCACTTTGGGTTTGGAAATCGTGAAGCGCAAAAAAAAGAAAACTACTGGGAAAGCCATATAAATGACCGGAACATCATGCCGTCCTGACTTGATTCTGCTCCACGGTTGGAAACCTTCCACATCAAGGCCAGATGATCAAGAAAGGAAAAGAAAGAAACATGTCAAACGAAAAGGAAACTTGAAGAAACAAAAGGAACAGGGAGCAGGAAAAGAAAGCGAAGGAAGAAGAAAAAACAAATCGAAGAAAAAGGAAATAAACGGAATTCAGAAAAGGATTTAATTTGACTTGTGATTTAATTCAGAATTCACTTGCGTTGAGTTTAGTTTACTTCTACTGCTTTGGGACCTAAGAAAAAGGCAAAGTGGCTGCAGGAAGCAACAATTCAATCACCTTGGACAACAAACGGTATGGCAACTGCAAGAATTACGGGCACTAGAGGTTAAATTGGACTAAGTCCAGTGTCCTTCTTCGTTTGAAACAATCGGGGAACTGGCGATGTCTCCCATGTGCCTGCAACTCATCTTGGATCTCCTGCCGCGTTTTGTTCCCGTGGCAGCAGGCAGTCACAGAGCGACCCTCATGATTTTTTTTCTTGAAACAATTTCAGAAAGACCAAAGCACCAACGGCTCCTTTGGATGCCAAGATCGCCCAGTACTACGGTCCTCAGCAAATCCGTCACTATATGTTGGAACTGTCAAGGATTGCAAAGTTCAGAAGCAAAGAACTGCGGTTTTGTACGACAGTCAATTGGCCGCAAAAGAACTCGGCTGAGGTGATGAAGGACCAACAATCCATCAATTCGATTTTGCCCACCTTGTTGGATCGCCGTCTCCTCCAAGACTGTGAATGTGAACTCCTGCCATCCTGCATCAAGACATATCAAGACTTTCCCCCAAGTCTCCCCGAAATTCCAGTCCAATCTGCCTCACGGAAGTCACACCGCGCCAGGCGCTCTACTAACTTCAATCATAGTAGCACTTTGGGTTTGGAAATCGTGAAGCGCAAAAAAAGGAAAACGACGGGGAAAGCCATATAAATGACCGGAACATCATGCCGTCCTGACTTGATTCTGCTCCGCGGTTGGAAACCTTCCACATCAAGGCCAGATGATCAAGAAAGGAAAAGAAAGAAACATGTCAAACGAAAAGGAAACTTGAAGAAACAAAAGGAACAAGGAGCAGGAAAAGAAAGCGAAGGAAGAAGAAAAAACAAATCGAAGAAAAAGGGAATAAACGGAATTCAGAATAGGATTTAATTTGACTTGTGATTCAATTCAGAATTCACTTGCGTTGAGTTTAGTTTAATTCTACTGCTTTGGGACCTAGGAAAAAGGCAAAGTGGCTGCAGGAAGCAACGGTTCAATCACCTTGGACAACAAACGGTATGGCAACTGCAAGAATTACGGGCACTAGAGGTTAAATTGTCTTCATAAAAATGGCCCTTTGCGCGAAGGTACACAACCATATTTGCTTGGCTTACAACAAATTTAATGCATTCATATATAGTTACAAATTGTCATTTTGGGGAGGCCTATCGGTTTACATGATTTAGTGCACTTTCTCAGCACAACTGCGCCCCTCCTTACTAAAGTAGTCTACGCTTATTCTGCCCGTATCTCATGTATGTATGTGTATATATATATAGAGAGGGTGTGTATGTGTATGTGTATGCATACATACATACATACATACATACGTACGTACGTACGTACATACATACATACATACAAGCATGCATGCATACATACATACATACATTACCTACATTTACCTACATTACCTACATTACCTACATTAACATACATTACATACATTACATGCATTACATACATTACATACATTACATACATTACATACATTACATACATTACATACATTACATACATTACATACATTACATACATTACATACATTACATACATTACATACATTACATACATTACATACATTACATACATTACATACATTACATACATTACATACATTACATACATTACATACATTACATACATTACATACATTACATACATTACATACATTACATACATTACATACATACATTACATACATTACATACATTACATACATACATACATACATACATACATACATACATACATACATACATTACATACATACATACATTACATACATTACATACATTACATACATTACATACATTACATACATTACATACATTACATACATTACATACATTACATACATTACATACATTACATACATTACATACATTACATACATTACATACATTACATACATTACATACATTACATACATTACATACATTACATACATTAAATACATTACATACATTACATACATTACATACATTACATACATTGCATACATTACATGCATTACATACATTACATACATTACATACATTACATACATACATGCATACAGACAGACAGACATACATACATACAGACATACATACATACATACATACATTACATACACACATACATTACATACATGGAAGATGCAATATCGAGCTGCGGAGCTTTTTTTAATTGAGCCAACAGTAACATCGGGCTCATGCCAAACTCCTGGATATATACACTGCACATGAGGTATATATAGTCTATACATGTCTTCGCTCCTCCTCTCTTGAAGTGTGATTTCTGTACACTCGCAAAGAGCTAACCTCCGGCTCTCAGTTCTCCTTCAGCTAGAGGTAGCGGAGTCTGGCCAGGGACTTCACTTGAGTAGATTCAGCTGGCCTTTGCTCCGATCTGTCAGATACACATACCCTGACTTTGTCATAGTCTGTTGCATCTGTGTGCCAGGCACAGGTTTCGTCAGAACATTTGATCGATTCTGTTTACCTGGAACATGCACGACTTTAAGGTGATTTTCGGCTACTCTTTCCTGCAGCCACAAGTATCGGGTTTGGATATGGCGTGCTTTGCCAAGTCCAACACGGTTGACTGTACCCTTTGCAGCATTGGAGTCTGACTCGATGGTGACAGCTGCATTGATACCATGGTCAGCCAATAGGGACTGGATTCCTAGCCCGGTACTTCCACCTTTAA